CATCTCCTTATAAAGCTGATTTGTTTCAGGCATCAGGGACAGATGAATAACACACTAATCATGAAGGAAATCCAAACCAAAACCATGATGAGGTGCTATGCCCTACCTATTAAGACAGCTACTATTATGAACCCCAGAAAGTAATAAGCATTGACTAGGACATGGAGAAAATGGGGTGTTGGACCTCATTTTGGCCCTGGTTTGGGCCTTGAGGACAAACTCAAGCCTGAGACCTATCTCAGTCACTTCTGTACCAGGGTGACTCAACAAGACCCATTTGGCCCTGCTTCTGCCCCGCTGTTGCTGATGTAGCCCTTTGCCATTGGCCCTGTCAGTCACTCCATACCCTCTGTCACCCTTCCCTGCTTCCTACGTCATCTCACCCCACCAAAAATTCCCCTTCCTATGCTCTGAGTTTATATAAGCAAGAGGCTGACACATTAAAGTTGAGTTCCTGCTTTGACAAGACTCCCTGCCCTGTGTGTTTCCTTTTGGGCAGTCGACACTCAGCCCCAGAGAGACCTGGCGTGAAGGGACTGCTCTCCTCTTGCCTGGACCTACTAGCAAGAAGCTGACAATGGAGCCCTTGTGAGCTGGTGGGAGACAGTCCAGGGGGGCTGTTTTCCAGAGATTCTCAGTATGTAACTCTGACTGGCCTAGAACTTGCTACATAGACCAGGTTGGCTTCAGACTCAAAAATATACTTGTCTCTGCCTCCCAAGTGCTGGGATTAAAGTAGTTCCACCATGTTTGCCTGTCCTAGTTTTTGAGGCAGGGTCTCACTGAACCTGATTTGACTAGCTGGATTGGCCAGCAAAGCCCAGGCACCCTGCTGTTTCTGTCTCCTCAGCATTGAGATTATGCAATTGCTGGGGTGCTGGGGATCTGAATTCAGGTCTCTATGCTTTTGCCACAAAGCATTTTACTGACTGAGATGACTTCCCAGCACCCCATACTTCTTTGTAAAACAGGGTTTTGTGAAACAGGGTTTTATGTAGCCCAGGTTTGCCTGGTACTAAGAAGCAAGAGCTGTAGTTGAGCCACCGATATGGTTCTCTTCTTCTAACGGCTGAAGCTGTTGGGTACAGGCATTCAGCTACCTGATCAGTAGCTGCCAAACTCTTTGCCCATGTTGGCCCTGTAGTGGTGGTGGCCTCTGAGCAAACCAGGTGCCTTCTTCAAAGTAGGCAGAGATCAGAGCCCAGTTGGAATAGCCACTGCTGTTCCCAAGTCTGGCAGACACATGAGCCTTGTTGCTGTTACTCCTAAAGTTAAGCAGGTGGCATCAGCGGTGGCGGTGGTGGTGGTGGTAGTGGTGGTGGTGGTATTTGAGATGTGTTTTGTGAGGGACACACAACTGTTTTGGTCTAACCATTCTTGTAGAGACTATAGGAACTGTCAGTTGCACTGTCAGCCCCTCCTCTTAGGATTCCCCTGGATGTTGTCATGGCAACCGTGACTTCTTTTAAAATCTGTATATTCCTTCCTTTTCATATGTAGATCCTAGTTTTGTGTGTGTGTGTGTGTGTGTGTGTGTGTGTGTGTGTTTACCTGGATATGTGGATGTGCATTCGTGGGGTGGTGGAGGTTGGGAGGTATAAAATATGAAAGGAGAAAAGGGACCATGGCAGGAGAACGGGTTTTAAGGAGGGGCTGAGGGGAGGATGATAGAGGAAGGTGATATGGTAGTGGTAAAGGAACTACTGATGGGCATGAGCAGAGTGTGGGGGAAAAGATGGAGAGAAGAGCAGGGGAGGAGCAACCAGATCGAGTGATTGGAGGGCAGAGGCAGGCAGATCTCTGTGAGTTCGAGGCCAGCCTGGTCTACAGAGAGAGTTCCAGGACAGACAAGACTGTTAAATAGAGAAACCCTGTCTTGGAAAACCAAACCAAACCAAAAAAAAAAAAAGAAAAAACCACAATGAAGGTCAGGTGTGGTGGTACACGCCTTTAATTCCAGCACTCAGAGGGCAGAAATAGGCCAATCTCTATGTTTGAGACCAGCTTGGTCTATATAGCAAGTTTCAGGACAGCCAAGGCTACATAGAAAGACACAGAACAAACAAACAAATAAACAAATGGGAAAAAAAATGAAAGAAAAATGCCAATGTTCTTCAGTGTTCTACTGTGTCAGTATTGTAGTTGAATTTAGGTTCAAACTGGTTCATTTCTGCTTGATGTACTAGAAGAGTTTGAGGAAAAGCAAAATTCTTTTTTTCTTTTTCTTTTTCTTTTTTTTTTTTTTTTCGAGACAGAGTTTCTCTGTGTAGCCCTGGCTGTCCTGGAACTCACTCTGTAGACCAGGCTGGCCTCCAACTCAGAAATTCACCTGCCTCTGCCTCCCAGGTGCTGGGATTAAAGGCGTGGCTCTTTTTTTTTTAATTTGATTTATTTTAAAGTGTGTATTGTGGGGAGGGGACACGTCACATGCATGTGAGTGGTGGCCAGAAGCATTGGATATAGATTCCCTAAAACTGGAATCACAGGTAGCCATGCCACTGACATGGGAACTGAACTCAGGTTCCCTGCAGGAGCACTGCATGCCCTAACTGCTAAGCCGGCTCTCCAGGCTCTGGATTTCTTTGGAATGACTCAACTGAGGATAGGCACATGAGGGCTGCTGGGGTCCCAGAACTTGGGAATCCAACTCCCTGGGTGGGCCTCTGTGGGTGAGTTCACATCAGTTCCTGGTGGCAGAAGTTGAAGCCAGGACTACAAGGGTACAGGATCTTTGGAGTGACCCTTAGATGAATTGCTTCAACCTGTGCTTTTAAGTGGGCAGAGGATGGAGCTCAGATGCTAGCTAGCATCCTTGCCTAGCACAGATCCCTGAGTTTGATTCTGAGAACAAAACAGCAAGCTGAAGAACTCGGGAGAGAAGCCTGGTGCTCTGCCCAGGGGCCCCCAGACTATTCATCAGTCTTCCCTTCTCCTAAAGGCTGGACCCCAAAATTGCCTCATCTTCCTCTCCACCAAAATCCTTTAGAGCCAGGCTGTGTGATATACTCTTGGCATTTCAGTACTTGGAGGGGCAGAGGCAGGAAGATCAGTAGTTCAAGGACACCCTCTGTTACATAGTAAATTCAGGCCAGTCTGGACTACATCAAACTGTGTCAAAAACTAAACAAAGAATACCCCCAACCTCTCAGATCTTCTTCCTCCTTCTCCTGCTCCCCCTTCGCCCCACCACCTCTTCTCCATCTGTATAATCTCCTCTTCTAATAACATAGAAATTAATATAGAAGACAGTTTCCAGTCCCAGGAACTTCCGGAAGAGAGACCAGGAGTTTGAGTGATTTGCATATGTTGGTTAAGTCAATAGAAAGAGTATCTTCTAAGTACAGATTTTTGGATTGAAAGCTATGAGGGACAGTAAACCATGATAATTTACTTTGCTTTTGTTTCAACTATTTACTTTGTATATGAAGATGATGTCAAGCTACAGTTGGAATTTAGGAGGATGCTGAGCCTGGGCAAAGAAGGAAGAAATGACATTACTAAGCTCCTCCTGTACTTTAAAACATTTTTTTATTTATTTGAATTTTCTGTGTATGAGTGTGTGCCTACATGTGCGGATGTGCACCATATGCAAGCAGTGCTCAAAGAAGACAGAAGAAAGGGTCTGATCCCTTTGACCTGGAGTTACAGGTGTTTGTGAGCTGCCCACCATGTGGGTTCTGAGACTCAAACTCTGATCCTCTGCAAGAGCATCGAGTGCTTTTAACTGCGGAGCCATCTCTCTGGCAAACCCCAAGGTGTGTTTTGATCAACATTCACCTGCTAGTGGGGCAGGTGTTGTGATAGCCAAAGTTAAATTTTAAGTTTTAATTACTGTGCCTAAGAGATCCGTGAAACAAAAATGCCTGTAACCTGTAGGCAGCTTGTCTAAGGACAGATACTTCCTTAAATGCCAGAGGCTATTATGTATGTTTTTGCTCCCCCTAAACAAATTTGTTTGACCCAACTGCACCTCCTGGATGTGCTGGATCACATGGAGGAGGGAGGTATGTAGGCAGGAAATATGTATGCTTGCCCCTGATCGGACCTAGTAGGGCAAATGATAGCCTTTTGGGCTTGCCTTTTGAAGCCTCTGCAAAATGTCACTCATCGCCCTTTTCTGAGAACCTAGGAATGGACTTGGCCAGAGTCCTGTCATTCTGGCCAGGATTTAAATAAAGCTAGCTTCAAATTTGGCTCAAAATTATGGCAACAATCTTATTCTTGCCTGGTGGGATTAACAGTGTGTGATACCTCTGAGAGGACACTGAGACGCAAGGGCTTTCTGTGGCTAGGTGTCTCAAAGTGAGGTGGGATAGGCTTGGAGACTAGTTCCCCCCAATCTCTTCTTCCTCCTTCTCCTCTTCCTCCTCCTCCTCCTCTTCTTCCTCTTTCTCTTCCTCCTCTTCTTCCTCTTTCTTTAAGAGACAGACTCTCAGGTGTCTCAGGCTGACCTTGCATTTACTATTTAGCCTAGGTTCACCTTCTTCTACCTCCTGCGTGCTGGGATCACAGGTGAGCATTACCATGTCTGGTTTATGGTGTGTTGAGGATCATACTCAGGGCTAGGCAAACACTCTACCAGATGAGTTACATCTCCAGCCTGAAGCCCCCTTCTGACTTTCTTTCTTCCTTTCTTCCTTTCTTCCTTTCTTCCTTTCTTCCTTTCTTCCTTTCTTCCTGTCTCCCTCCCTCCCTCCCTCCCTCCCTCCCTCCCTCTCCCTCTCTCTCTCTCTCTCTTTCTTTCTTTTTTCTTTTTTCTTTTTCAAGACAGGGTTTCCCTGTGTAGCCCTGGCTGTCCTGTAACTCACTCTGTAGACCAGGCTGGCCTCGAACTCAGAAATCCACCTGCCTCTCCCTTCTAACTTTCATCAGAGCCAACCAACCTCCTAAGAAGCAGGAAAAGACACTGTCACATATATGGCAGTGTAAGACAGTTTGAAAGATGTGCACTGTCTTAGTTACTTTCTGTTGCTGTAGTGAAACACTGTTACCAAGACAACTTACAGAAGGAAGGTTTATTTGGGGCTTACAGTTGCAGAGGGATAAAAGTCCCTCATGGTGAGGAGGCTGGGCAGCAGACAATTGGAGTAGCTAATAAGAACTCACATCTCAAAACGAAAAATCAGAAAAACTCGGAGTGCCGTGATCTTTGGACTCTCCAAGCCAGTCTCCAGTGACACATTTCTTCCAAAAATGCCACATCTTCTAACTTCCCCAAGTAGCCACCAACAACTGGGGACCAAGTATTCAAATGCCTGAGACATATGGGGGGCATCTCATTTAAACCATCATATTTGGTAGAACTTTCTATTTTTATTTTTTTACATTTGTTTCCGTCTTTATCATGTTTGTACGTATGTACAGTCACCTGCATAGGACACTCATATGAAGGTCAGAGGACAATTTGCAAGAGTCCGTTCTGTCCTTCTACCATGTGGGGCCCATGAATTGACCCCACTGAGCTACTTCGTTGCCAGATGCACAGTCTTAAGCTTGGAAGTTGGTCCTGTACTTCACCACCCCCCCTCTTGCAGGAGGAAGGCTGAAGGCTTAACAGGTAGAGCAAGGGCTCTGCAGCCAAAGGCATCGAGAGAAGCGGAGGAAGTGTGGGGGGGTGCAGCTGGCCAGGAGCCTGATAAGTAGGACCTGAGATGAGAAAATCCCCGAGAGAAGGCAGAAGAGAAGCTGTTCTCAGTCTTGCCCTTGAGGTGGAAATTCTTTTACTGAGTCCTAACAATTCCCTAAAGATTCTGAGTCCTGCTACTTTGGACTGATGGACAGGCAGTGCCCTTCCCCCAGCCCTTTGATGTCACCAGGCAGCAGGTCCGGTGGCTTCAGTAACCCACGGTCCTACCCACGAGGTCCAGGTGTGCATGGCTTCACCACTACAAACTGCATTTTCCTCAAGCTTCTTCTCTGGACAGAATCTCTCCTAAAGCATTGTCCTCGTGTTTACATTTGCAGACGGGTCTTGTTAGAAAGTTCGGCCATGCCTGCTTCGCTTTCTATCTTCCTGATACGCTGAGGAGGCAGACAGTGAAGGACTGTTACCACTGAACACACTCCATCCTCCAGTGTCTTCCGTGGGCCCAGCAGGATGCATTTGTACAGGGTCAATGTGTTCTTTTTCCTTTCTCATTTTCCGAAGAATCCTGATGGAGCCTGCTTGGCAGACTCATTACGGAGAGGGGAAGTCATCTGGTGACTGAGAAGGCTAAGTCACAGCTCTGTGCTGAAGCTGAAGGGTCCCTCCGGCCATTTTGTTTGATTCAAGGACAACACAGTGGGCAGATCTTCCCAATGCCTGTGGCCTTTCCTGTTTATTATGTGTTGTTTAATCCTACATTTCAAGGGGGTCGGCTCTCGCTTTCTTTGTTGTCTCTTGCCTAAATGTTAGGCATCCAACCGGAAGGGTTTTAAAAATTAATATAATTTATTTCCCATCAGGTCAGTGCAAAACAAAGGTGTTTTAGGATGAAACATGGAAGACCAAGAGTCTCTTCCTCTTTTAGTTCAGTTTCTCAAGACAGCAACAGTGCAGGGTTCCGTAATGTGTGTGGGTCTGCATCCCCTGGGCAGAGAGGTTTTGTTCCGTTCCAGGAAGCCTTTTTTATGAGGAAAGTACCAAGAGGCCTGATCACCTTGTTCAAAATGGAGATTCTCGCAGTACCTGGACTTTCATTAAGGCCCGCTTCAGCTGTTCGTAGGTTACAAACATCATCACGTTCCAGGCTCCCAGACGAAGGAAGGAGGGCATGAATCTGAGGAGAGAAACAGCTACTACGTGAGCAGAAGCAGATTAGGAGGCACAAGCACACCTACGATACTGTCCCCATGCTGGCGGAATGAAACTGCTTGTCACAAGCCTTTTCTGAGATCTGTTTCATTTTTGGTCTCTGTACTGAAGGGATTTAGGCAGAAGTTGGAATCAGAAAAGGAAAGAAAGCTAACTTGTTAAGGCAGGTTAGTGTGTAGGAAGTTAACTCTCGAGGTCTGTGTGCCCACACTCCTGGCTGCCAGATCCTTTGCTAGATACTGAGGCCAGAGAAGCTGAGTAACTCAAACCACAAAGTTGGTAAATACCACTGGAGGGTTGAGACACACTGCTGGCCAACTCATCCCAATGCTAGCTATGGGCTTTAGGCTCATTTGCATCCAGATTTCCACCCAGAGAAGGCCTAACTAGGGTTCAATAAGTGGATTGGGGGTAGGGTGGAGGGAGCATGGCATCAGATTCAGCTCACCTCCAGAAAGCTCTCTGGGCCTCTGGAGTACCTTGGGAGAAAGTGTCTACCTGTCTGTGCTTGCTTCTCAGAGGAAGGGAAGAGCCCATCCTCTGGTCCCTCATCTTGGCCACTCTGACTGTTCAGGCCGCTCGGTTCCTCCCAGACTCAGCAAGTTACCATGCATGCTCTGACAATGCCAGGCCCTCTCCTGTTCCTTTAAGTGCATTGCTTTTTCCTCAGCTTGGACTCTTCCTTGTCCGTTTCCGGGCTGGAGGGTGGTTCTTCATGCTGCAGGACTCAGTTGGGCATGGCAGCCACATGCCGTGACATTTTCTTTGTGGGGTGGGTATGAGACAGAGCCTTACAATGTAGCTCTGGCTGGCTTTGAACTCAAGGCAACACCCTGCTTCAGCCACCATACATAGCTGGCCATGGCTGTTCTTAAACCTTCACAAGGGCTGTGGCAATGTATCCAAATTCTGGAGTCTAATCAAACCTGGGCTAAACTCCTAGCTCCTCCAGCTTCCAGTGCCTCATCTTGAAAGTGAGGACAATAGAAGCTGGGGTCTGACATATGCCTGTGATCCTGGCACTTGAGAAGGCCATGAAGATCAGGAGTTCGGGGTCAGTTTGAACAACCTGAAACCTTGTTTCAAAGAACCTAAAATAAGAGTGTGTAGCAGTAACCTCCTTATAGGGTAGTCTCATGGTTATCTGAGTCATTGGGGGACAGCACTGCTCCATCAATGTCACCTACTTATCTGTGACTCTTCGAGGGAGCCAAAGGCCAGAGCCCGGCACACAGGAAACTGAGGCACTAGCTGAAGACACTGAGCCAAGCAGTGTCAGGTGACACGTTAAGTATGTTAGTCCCAGACAGAGAATCTCCAGTGCCTTCTGTCTGTCTGGGTTCAACTTAACATTACACACCAGAGAAGACCTGCTAAAGGCATTGAGGTGGGAGGCAAGCAGAGACCTTCCCACTGGGGTAAGCAGCACCGCAGTGGGTGTGGCCTCGGAGCCAGAGCCCTGCTATTTTGTGATCTTGGACAAGTTACTATTTTGAAGTGCAGTGTGGGAGCTACTACCCAGTTCAGAGTGTTGTTGTGTTATACAACAGACATAAAGTACCTTGGCTCTCGGGATGCTAGTGAGGAACCCACACGATCTTGCTTGATCTGTGGTTGGATCTTCAGATGATAAAAGACGGATGAGCCGCCAGCCTTAGCTCCAAGGGGCTTGTGAACTGGCATGAAGATGAACTTAATTTTGTAAAAGGTGGGATTACTTTTTATAAGTGGATCAAATGGTATTACCGAGGCTCATGGGAGGAGGGAAAACTTACGTGTGACAGTGTGAGGGAGGAGTTGGCATTGGGACTAGTCTGCAAGGGTGGCTAAGATTTAGATTGTGCAGATGTCGAGGGAAAGGCATCCCAGTGGGCTGAGGTGCTGCTGCAAAGGAGGACACCCTTGGACTGAATTTGACCTTGGAGCCATGTAAAGGTTGGGGGAGGGAACCAACTCCACAGAGTTGTCCTCTGACCCCACATGTGCTGCAGCAAGGTACCTGGGCACATATCACACATGCACGCGCATTATGGCATTAATGGTAAGTTTTTAAAGGATAGGCCTTCTATGGAAAGGCACAGGAGCCCTGAGTGTTGGTGTAGTAAATATGGCGTTTCTGCTGCCGTGAGTGTGGTGGTGAATGGTCAGGGCAGCAGGTGGGGGAAAAACCTCTCTGCCCAAAATATTTGAAGACAAATAATAATTTTACGTAGCCTGGGCCTACTTTTTTCTTAGTAAGGCTTCTGTTGTAAGTACTTGGGATGGTGTGTGCCTACAACACAGTGCTCACAGGGAGAGCCAGGAGGATGGAATGTCAAGGTCACTCTTGGTTACATAGTGAGTTCTAGGCCAGCCTGAAATTCATGAGACTCAGTCAGAGAGAAAGAAAAAGGTGGAAAAGAAGAGAAGAAGAGAAGACAAGGAGGGCAAGAACCCAAGTTTTCTGGAAAGAGTGCTGGCAGCAGAAGGTGACAGACAGCTTACCCTTTGTAGAAGGCTGTGGGGCCCTCCTGGGCCACCATCTTCAGCATACAGTGTAGAGGGCTGCGGTACCTTCCTGGGGGAGCGTTCATGTATCGGGTCTTTACCACATCCACTGGGGAGGCCACCACCGTGGCACAGAAGCCAGCTCCAAAGGCAGAGACAAAGTGACAGGGGAAGTTGTCTGTAGAAGGGGAGGGAAGCACAGATCCCGGGCTGCAGCAGGTGTGCATGGGGTACAGATGTGGTCATTGGGTCTCCGGTGTAACCTTGACCTCTGGAGCAGTGTTCAAGGCTGAGCTCTTGGTTAGTGGTGGCAAGTTAGCAGGACTTACTCAGCAGCAGCTCTGAGTAAGAAAGCCACAGACCGTTTTTTTTGAGGAAATTGAAGTCAGTGGGCAAGTGCCTGTCACAGATACAGAGTCTGGTGCTGGCCCTAGAACCTGGGGCTCTGCTTCTGGCCTAGGCCTCTTTCCTCATTACAACCCTGTACTGGGCACTGCTCCTCTCTCTGTCTGTTTGGGGTCCCCGACACCTCTGGGTAATACCCACTCCTGTTTCTCTACCCACTCTCACCAGTGAACAGGTGAGAGTCCAGCAGCTTCTCCTTGATGATGTCATAGGTCACCATCTCGGCACAGTTGACGATGGCATTTCTTGTGATGTTGGGCCAAGTCCCTGTTAGGAAGGCAGCGGGGACTGAGGAATGCAACGCTCCCTGGGTACAGTGTCTTATAGCAATGGTCTCAGCCAGGGGACCATACCTCAGCCACAGATCCCACCTTTCCTTCTGGAGTTATCAGCTTTTAAACCCCCTGCATCTTCACAAACAGAAACACAAGGTTTGGCTACATGTGGAACATAATTTGCACTCTGTCAGAGTTTCAACATGCCTCCCTCAGACCCAGGAAGCGGGGAAGGAGGAAGGAGGGAGGAGGAAGGAGGCTGGGCCCCAGGACAGTGACAGATTATGACAGGGCCCTAGGAGGCAGGTTTCACTGAGAAGAGGATAGGCAGGGCATGGGACACCAGCGAGGGACTTCCCTGGCAGTCCTGTGGGGCCCTCCTGGGCCACCATCTTCAGCATACAGTGTAGAGGGCTGCCCCACACACTGAGGTGTCCTACCCTTAAACATCACAAGGCCATTTTTCTCCTGCAAGGGATCATGGGAATGGTGGCTTAAGAGAAGGAGGGATCCTGGCATTTGCCAAGGGCTAAATACATAGGGAAGTCTACAGTCTTCACCCCCAAGGAAGTCTCCTCACTCACCACAACGGGCTCTACAGCTGTGCTCCTCCCTGCCTCTCTGTCTGTTCTCTGTCCTCTGAAGGCCCTCCGCCCTTCTATCTCCACACCTTGGCCTTTGAGACCAGGAACTTTTTGGAGCCAGCACGGCTTTCCACCTCCTGCCTGTGTTCTGGCCCCCTTCTTGTGGCATAAGCTGCGTTGGCCTCCTTAGATCCTCTGAAATAAATCCCTGAGAAGTGGATGTTCATTTCTGACTCTCTCCCAGGGTGGCCTATGCAGGTGATGACTGGTAAGCTGGACAGTATTTGACATCCTGTGGCCAGTGTGTGGTGTATTGTATTTGGAGTGTTCTCATGATGTTGAACCATGCTTTGGGGATGCCTCCTTTCTGGATTCCCTGTCTCGGCCCTCAGGGAGCAAAAGCCAAGTTTACCTTTCCACAGGCCCCTGACACCTTCCTCCCTGGCGATGGTTCTGTAGGCATCCATAGTCCCTCTGTATTTCCTCTCGCCTCCAGTTCCCAGGCGTATCATGGCTTGAAATCGGACCTTCACCACATCTGTGGGCTGGGCGCAGGTCACTGCCATGGCTCCCGTGGTGCAGCCTGCCAGAATCCTGATGGCGACGCTAGAGTCTGGGGCAGGCAGAGAGAACTAGGAGTCTCTGACACTGTCAGAATTTCACCAGTGTCTGTCATCAGCTTGCCCCTCCCCTACTCTGCTCGGTGGACCAACTCCATGTCCTTGACCCACACTCCAGCTGCTAACCAGGTTTCCCACCCCTAAGTGTCCACAGGTGTTCCTGGTGTCCTCGGGTTCTGGCACTCACGGTCCGCTCCCTTGGGGGTGTAGAACTGCTTGACAGAGTCGTAGAGGCCAATTCTAATGGAGGCAAAGCTCATCTGGCGGTGCAGGCCGGCGACCAGTCCGCTGTAGGGGCTGCGGGGACCCTCTGTGCGCACCATAGTCAGGATGGTACCCAGCACGCCGCGGTACTGCACGCTCTGCGCCCCTGGGTTCTCCCCTTGGATCTGGGGAACAAGAACAGGGCCTGAGGAGTTGATGGGTGGCCGGGGAGGCGCGGCTGTGCGTGCAGGATGCCTGTAGGGTCTTGGGACTAGCATGATTATCAAATCAGGGTGAAAACGGCTCAGTGTGCAGCATGCTGCAGTTCACAAAGCAGTTCTTATTCGGTGTGGCATCTCGGCCCACCCACACCAGAGAGGCCGGTTTGCTTTCCCTGTCTTAAAATAGATGGTTAGAGGCCCACACCGTTACTTCTTTACCTTTATTTTCCACTTTATGGTTTACATAGCAGGGCTAAGCAGTAAAGAGCCCTGCCACCTCATGTCAAGGTATTTGGATTGTTTGGTCACGAGGGATGGTGGTGGGGACCAAGGCAGTGTAGGGGGTGGCCTTCCCTCAGCTCTGTGTGAGGAAGAGCATGTTGGCACATGGGCTGATGCTGTAGAAGCAGCCCCTTCTTCCTCGTGAATCACAACCACTGGCCAAAGGCACCCACCTGCAGGCGGACCTTGGCAGTGTCCAGGGGGAAGGTGAGGAGGTCAGCAAAACAGGCGGCAGCTCCGGCCCCCAGGAACTTCACAGCTGTTGTGGGAGGTACTTCTGACGGCTGAAGCCCAACCATGGTCCCAAAGGATGGACCTGGTTCCTTTGTTGCCTATTGAAGTTGAAGGAAAGAGGTTGCCTGGCAATCCTTTGCTTCAGTTCCGGGAGGAAGCTGCAGGAGATAGACCAGGGGAACAGTGGAGTCTGGGCTGCTTGGCTCTGTCTCGTTTCCAGAGACCCACAGGACTCTGAAGGGGCTTTACAAAGTGAGAAGCCTGGGTACTGTCACACTTAACCTGCCTGAATTTGGTTCATATACCACACCTAACAATCCCTGTCAACTCTGCACAGAGGGTTAAGGTGGTGGGGGGTAGCAGATAGGGCCTGTAGTATCGTCACTGAATAGCTTGACATCTTTGTAGGCAGCAGGCCTGGCCTTGACTGTGTTCTCCCAGGGTTCTGATGCTTCCCCACTGATCAAGCCTCTCTGAGGTGCTTCATCCCACTTTCCAAAACAGGGGAACATTCCTTGTGACTCAGGGAGACACTCATTCATCCTGACTAAACCATATTCCTTAAAAGGATGCCTGAATATACACCACCCCTGTAGGGGATTGGACTTAGGGCCTAGTGTAAGGCAAACCTCTACCACAGAGATATATACCAAGTACTCTATTATTATTTTTGAGACAAAAGTTTCATTAAATTTCCCAGGCCAGCCTTGAACTTGAAATCACCCAGCATCAGGCTCTCGGATGCTGGGATTGTATTCCTGCACTGCCATGCCTGGCCTGGCTATACCTTCCTCTGTATAAAAAAGGCAGATCCTCCTCAGTGCTGGTTGCTCCCGTCTCTGTAAGGTTTCCCAGTTGGTGGTCTGTTGGTGGAACCTGGCCTTAGTACTCTGCTGTCCTCCATTTCCCAATGGGCCTGAGGTCCGTGGTCTGACCCATGAGTGCTTCTGCTGTCTGGGGTGGTTTACAGTTGCTCTGCCTGGCTTGAATCACCTCCCACTCAAGTCACTGAGGAGACTCTTCTCAGCTGAAGACAGAATCAGTCTTAGGTCAAGGCAATACACAAACAATGCCAGGGCAGACATGTGTCTGTCTGTCTCCCTCTGTGTGTGTGTGTGTGTGTGTGTGTGTGTGTTGATGTGTGCACTTTCTGCTGGTTACTCAGGGGATCTTTTAAAGTGAAGTTTAGCTCAGGTGTGCTGGGAAACTGGCACACCATCACAGGTGGCCCTATGTTCTTATAACTAGGCCTGTGCACCAGGCCTTCTGTGTTGAGGCCATCTCTTGGCAGTGCGCATCTACTGGTTCACCAACTCAGACACTCTCTTGGTGTGCTGAAGTCCTACACCCTTTAATGGTCCATTCTCAGGGCCAGGGCCAGGGTCAGTCTCATAGAATTGTAAACAGTGTGCACCCCCTTCCCTACAGGGAAACAGGATTCTGGGCCAGTGTTTAGGAAATCTGGGCTGTGGTCCTGTCTTCTAAGGCTTAGCTTAGGTGCATTTACCCTTTCTTGGGCCAATAAGAATATATATATATGTGTGTGTGTGTGTGTGTGTGTGTGTGTGTGTGTGTGTGTGTGTGTGTATGTGTGTGTATGAATATAGATACGTCTATATCATTGATATATATCATTCATTTGATAAATATAAATATTATATATATATATAACTAATATATAATAAAAATATATAAAATTTCAGTTCATCAATAGGAAACATTTAGGTATCAAAGGGTAGGAACAAGGCCATATGTATATAACTCTGGTTTCCTTTGTGATGCTTCCTCAACTTATACTTTCAGAAACCAAGGACTCAGGCTTGCTGTCATCTCCTCCTGAGAAATGCTGTCACTGGGAAGGCGCTGCTGTGCTAATTCATGCTGAGCGAATGACTACTGACTGGTCAGCTATTTCTTGACCACTGTCCTAGGCATGGGTAAGGCAAGATGCAGATGGAACAGGGTTGGTTGGATTTGTCTTCAAGGGGCTTGATTTCTAGTGAGACAAACAAATAGATAGCGAAGGGAGTGGGGACAAGTACGTGGGACATGGGCTGAGGCCGGAACCCACAGCTGCTGCGTGCCGGTCTGGAAGCCTGGGTCCTAGTGCAGAAGAATGGTGTCTGCCCTGAGGAAGGGTTGAGGCAAAACTGAAAATCATTTCATGCTTCTTTTCCCCCCTCTTTCTCTTTTGGTGGGGTCTCTTGTTGGGCAAGACGGCTTCAAATTCTCTATGTAGCCAATGACAACTTTGAACTTCTGATCTTCCTGCTTTCACTTCCCAAGTCCATTGCTGCCTCCAGTTTACAAGGTGCTAAGGATCAAACCTCGGGCTTTGCGTATGCTAAGGTGAGCTACATCCCCAGCCCTGATTGTATCTTAAGGACCACTAAAGTAGACGGAGCTATACACCAACTCCGGAAAGTTGGGTCTAAGTAGCGGAGGCAGGAAGTGTTCTCCACTGGAGTTCTACATCCCAGCCTTTATCTGTCACTCTCCTAGTTTTTAGACAGTCCACTGACTCTCTCATCTTATCAAAAGCATTTTAGCACCTTGGTCAGGGCTCTTCTAGAGGGCTCCCCTTCCCCACTTCCTCACTTACTCACTGAGCTTTAGTCACATGGGAGCTCTTGGGTTCCATCATCTGGAATACAACTCTCTCAGGCACCTGCAGATTGCCTCCTCCTCACCTCCTTCACATTCCTCCTCAAATGCCACCTCTTCAGAGGTCCTTCCCTGAACTCAGCATCACTCTCATGCCACGGCACCGATCAATCACCCCTCAGCCTTGTGTCTGATGCACTTTCCCCCTCGGATGCCCTGTCTCCGAGCACAGGGGCCTCGCCCGTCCAGAGTGCTGTATTTGTCGGAAAAACAGATGGTGATATTATTGGAAGGTCTCCTCTTATATCTGTTTAACTCCATCTTCATGTTCTGCCACTGAGCTAATCCAGGGATTCAGCCTGGTAGGTGCCAGCGCGTGCTGAGGAGACCCCATCTCACACAGAGCTCTGTGCTTGGCATCCCAGAATAAAAACCCATGTGTGTTTATCTGGAGGTTCTCCAGAAGGCTTTGAGGGCTGGCTTAGACAGTGCCCAGAAATAACTTAGTTCAAGCTGGACTGTGGTCAGCATAGATGCAGAGGAGCTATCAGGGGAGAGAGAGGGGAAGAGCTGACTCTTTGCTTGTAGGGGAACAAGAGGATCAATGCAGGCTAAGTCTTAAATGGTTTTAGGCAGGTAGAAAAATGAGGATGGCCCCGGGGAAGCAGGGCCTGAACTTGTAGAGCAGTGGTTCTCAACCTTCCTAATGCTGTGCCCTTTTAATAGAGTTCGTCATATTGTGGTGACCCCCAACCACAACATCATTTTTGTTGCTACCTCATAACTGTAAGTTGGTTACTGTTATTTTTTTTTTTTTTTTTTGGTTTTTCAAGACAGGGTTTCTCTGTATAGCCCTGGCTGTCCTGGAACTCACTCTGTAGACCAGGCTGGCCTCGAACTCAGAAATCCGCCTGCCTCTGCCTCCCAAGTCCATTAAAGGTGTGCGCCACCACCGCCCGGCTTAGTGTTATGAATTTTAGTGTAAATATCTGATATGTAGGATATCTGATACCGTCCTCCAAAGGGGTCACGATCCACAAATTGAGAACCACTGGTGTTGGTTCTGTGGAAGCTCAGAGTAGGAGGGCCTGACTGCTGGGCTGTGGAGCCCCTGCAGTTGGGGACTTTCCACATGTCATCACTCGTGATCCTCAACACCTGTCAGGAAAGGTAGCCGAGACTTAGAGACATTAGCTTGCTTAGTGTCACCAGCCCCTGGTGTCCAAGCCTGTGTTTAGTCAATTTTAGGTTCAAAACCACTTTGGCAAAAGCAAGGCAGTATTTAAATCCAGTTTACAGATGAGAAAATAGAGGCTTAAGATGGAAAGATGTTGGACTGAAGAGATGGTTTAGCGGTTAAGAGCTCTGACTGCTCTTCCAGAGTCCCTGGGTTCAATTCCCAGCACTTACAACGGCAACTCACAGCTATCTGTAACTCCAAGATCTGACACCCTTACACAGATACACATGCAGGCAAAATATCAATACATATAAAATATGAATAAGTAAATTATTTTAATAAAGGATGGAAAGAGGTTGACTGATCACTGGTCATAGGACTCCAGTCTGTTTTTTCTGATGGCCAGGCAATAAAGCTGTCTTCGCTCTACCACCTAAGGTCTAGTCAGTGTGGTAACCTGGCTCCTCAGGGTCTTGCCTTTGTTGAGCATTCACAGCAGTTACTAAATGCTTCATAATGCCAAACATGAGTCTGGAGAAGGCTGGGCGACTACCAAGGTCCACTAACCATATGGAATTCATGGGCCCAGAGAGGCTAAGCTCTGTGTGGGTAGGTGTAGTCAGGCCTTGGCTCTCCCAGGCTCTTCCTTCAGCCTGTCTTCTTGTCTGAGTTGTAAACTGAGACAAGCCTGAGGAGGGGGACAGGTTCTTTGGAGATTGAGGCTTGAGGCCCAGAGCCTTTAAAGCCAACTTGGCTGAGGAACAGCAGTACAGGCGTGTTTAGAGAAATACCCTCCACGTGCTCAGGCCTCATTCCCCTTTGCCCTACAGAAGAGCAGCAAGGCCTGGCTCCTTCCCAGCAGGGAGGCACTGGTTTCCCTTCCCAGGCCTGGAATGTACTGTGGGAGCAGCTGGCTCTCCTCATGGCACCCTAGTGGCCTCTCTTCTCCCAAGCCTTGAATTGGCTCCAGAGAGCTAGGCTTCTGGGTGACTGGACAGCCTGAATCTAAGGCTCTTGAATCTGGAGAGACCCTTGGGGTAAGTTCTTTAGAATCCCTTCGTCAAAGCCTGTCTGGGGACACTCAGGTGCTAGTAGAAGAACCCTGTGTTTTGCTCTGCTTTGGAGAGAAACACTGAGGTTAGACAGGCAAAGGACCGGTGTATAGCCGCTGTCTGGGACTGTGACATCAGAGTCCTTTCTGCTAGAGGGAACCTCAGGCGATGTTGGTGTTGAGCCAGGTCCTGCAGAGGGTACTGAATGCAGGTTTCTCCCTGCTGAGGCCAGGTGTGTCTCTGGAGTTTTTGCTTCCCTGTCAATCAGGGCTTCTCTCTTATACCCACTTTGTCCTCTGCTACTTCTGACTCTACTGTCTTGTAGTATTGCCTCACTCTCTGTGACTGTTTTCTAGCTCTGTCGGAGCCTCCAGGTAGGGACGAGATAACTTACCTGCCTTCTCTGTGAAGACTGTTGTAGGGAAGGCCCTAAGTCAGAGCACTCTTACCAAAATGAGGAGGCAGGAAATGAGGTCAAAGATGACCTCAGGGCCCTTTGGTAGAGGGCTGTGAATGCCAAGGTTAGTCTAGTGGAAAATACGGGGCTGGGGTGGAGGCCGGGGGATGCTGAGCTGTCAGAGCATGCTGGTGCAGGCAGCAAGGGTAGAAGGGAGAGATGGGCTTCTAACACCAGTGAGGAGGATACTGCTGGAAAGGACCTCTGAAGAGACACTGAGGCCTGAGCTTGGTTAAGAGCTTGCAATTGGGTATACCCAAGTTTTGAAGGAGTACCCCCAAGCTACCCATCAGAAATAGAAAAGGATGGACAGACATACTTGAGTATGTGGGTGAGGCCACAATGACCTGCATAGTAAGAAACTCCCTGAGGTCAGGGCTTCCCAACCTCCTTCTTCCTGTACCTTAGTTGTTATCTGGGAAAGCCTGTCAGGCACCAGACCTTTGTCACCAGATGGAGGTGGAAGTTGAGAACAGTCCTACTACTGGGGTACCCACAACATGAGATACTCTAGTCAACAGGCCCATTCGTGTTTGCTGAGTGTGTCCTGCACTGCCCAACCCAACTCTCCAACAAAACATTGGCATCAAGGAAGCCACTGGACAGAGTGACCACAGGCTCTAGGCCAGGCTTCAGGCCAGAGGTGCTTTCCTCATCTCTACCCAGGAAGGGCTCCAGGACCCTTGCTGGAGAGGCCTTTGTGCTCTGTGGGGATCCTGAGCCTAAGGAGACGGACACTTCTCATCTGGCGTTTGTAAGATCCCAGCAGAGGAGTCAGCTGGACAAGGGAGTCCCGAGGAGTCACACCGATGTGGGAGTCAAGGTCTTCCTCAGGGCTGCAGTTCCTTTATCTTTACCAGACGGGAGCTAGACTGACTCACTTTCTGTCTCTCACACTGTGGTGAGTGATTCCTGGCAGCTCCTGGCTGTGAGCATCCACGGAAGGGAGAACAGGCAGAGGAGCAGGGGATAAGGGAGAATTGAGGAGAGGTATGGGGTCTTACCTGTGAGTCTAGCCAAGGTCAGGTAGTGTAGGGCACCCTAAGGCTCCATTCCATTAGGTAGCAGCAGGATCTGATGGCCCCTCCTCACCATTCACACTGTCTCTGCTGCCTCTGGCTCGGCACTGGCCTTATGCACCAGCTGACCTGAAACCTAATTCTGAGAAGCTAGTTGACAGTCTGATCACTTGACAAGAGGCGGGCTGCGGGGAGGGGACCAGTGAGTTCCAGATCTGGTTTAGCTTCCGTGACCTGGGGCTCTTTACTGTGGCTCCTTTGAGCTTTCAAGAGGAGGGATACCTTGGTGACCAGGAGATATGGTGTGTGACAGCACTTGCCACCTCTAAGAGCCCAGAGGTCAAGGTCTCTTAGGACAGGGGCTCTCCAGGATCCTATGCAATGATTACAGGCTTCATTTCTTAGAGACCTGACACTCTCCTCCAGAGGAGAGAGGAGATAGGGCTGAGAAGGTAGAGGACAGCTTGCTGCCAAGATATGCTTGATATTTTAGGCACATCGCTTATATTTCCTATACCCCTAGGAAGCAGGTATTACTAAAGCAGGATCCTAAACTTAGAAACAAAGGAAAACAGATGTGTTTGCATAGATTTGCTCACGTAGAGCACACAATAATGCTTAGTACAGTCAGGTTGGCCAACCACTACATTCTAGTTCAGAACATTTTCATCAGGGCTCAAAGACAAAAAAAAACAAAAAACAAAACCCAAAAAACAAAACAAAAAACCCAAGTCACCCCTTCCCCCTTCCCGGCTTCAGGCAGCCACTCATCTTTATTCTGCTCCTTAATTGGCTTGTTCTAGATGTTTCGTTTGAGTAGGATCTTACAGAATGTATGGCCTCCTGTGGCTGGTTTCTTTCATGGAGGTGTTACACACTGTAGTGTGTATCATTAGATACATACTGTGTAGAGCCCTCACGTGTCAATACGCAGAAAACTGAACGTCAAGGACAGTAACTTCCCAAGGTCACACAGCTACAACAGGGCAAGCCTGACTTGCCGGTAACCTATAACACACTTTGGCTCTATCTGCTGCAGTCACTGCTCCTCATGGCATGGCCCTTGGCATGGGTGTGCTGGGGCCGGAGTGAGATGGGTCAGGGTCAGCAGAATCCCTTGCAGCAACCACTGTTGGCTGGTCCATCTGCAGGCGCTGAGGTTAAGGACTGTGTGCAGCTGAAGCTGGGAGCTGGGTGACATCGAAGGGAGACTAAAAGGAGAGGGGAGAGGAGATAGGCCAGAGAAGGAAGAGGACAGTTTGGAACTTGAGCACAGAGCCATGGCAGGGTGGGTGCTGTGACATCCGGATTGTTTATTCTCTTTCTTGGACCAGGCTATTAATCTGGAGGTGGGCAGGACTGTAGGGGTGGGGGTGGGGGCAGGGCTACAAGTAGAAGTCAAACTAGAGGCAGCCGGTTCTGGAGAAACCCAGAGGGAGGAGAGCTTGGCTGACTAGGCCTAGCTGGAGTCAATTCCCTGCTGGAAGTTTTAAGGTGGGCTGCTACAGTCTCTGAAACACTGTTTCAGAAACACTGTCACCAGAAACACTGTTTCCAGGCGTCTGTGGAGGTCGGGGTTCATTCTGGTTGTGGTGACAAATGTGTTGTACAACTTGCAAGTCAAGTCACCTCAGAGCTATCACTGAGATGAGAGATTGGTAAATAACACACTGCGCATGTCGTCTGTTTCAGACCTTCACCTTGTCTGCAGCCCGTGCCCTCCCTCCTGTGGCCCTCTTCTCACTTGACTCCTTCAGGTTATTTACAGGAACGGGATTTGGCAGTGATCCTCTTCACCCGAGGCTTTACCCCTTAGGCCTGGAACCTGGAGGTTTCTTACCTCAAGGGATGTGGAACTCCAGGTACTGGAAGCTCTGTTCTGGCTAAGTGGGAGGCCTGTGGCAAGGCCAGCCTCTGGCTAGAGACTGGGTAGGTTTGCAGGGTGAAGCTCAAGGAGCAGAAATATGAGGGGCAGGTTGGGCTGAGGGTTCATGGCTGGCCCTTAAGCTGGAGTGCTCTGCCTTTTGGGTATCCAGCACGCTTGCCTCTACTAACTCACCCCGGTGCTTGGGAAGAGTGGGAAGAGCTGACATTTCTCAGCTTCCACTAGGTGCCAAGTACCAGCAAAGCATCTTCAGAAATGCCCCATTTGATCTCCACAGCGACTGGATGAAGCCAGCGTCTAAGTGTTTGTGCCTTCCCAATGAGGCCAGAGCCACAGACTTAAGCTAGGCTGGACACTCACTGACATGGCCCAGAACATTCTCTGGTTCTCTTTGCAGCTGTCCTTGACCTGGCCCATTCTCTGGGCTTTACCCCAGTACTGATTTCTTTCAGGGATCCTTCCCTGGATGCAGCATCCTGAGACTGCCCTAATTCAAGGTACTTACTGGCTGTACCCTGCTTTGGTCAGAGCCCTTATCTCTGGGTATGGCTTGGGTCCTGATGCACTTTCTACCTCTACAGAAGCCATGTATCTGACTTCCTCGGCCTTGAGTTTAACTGTGGGAGGGGCATCAGAGATGTTGTGAGGATTCAGAGAAATGACACGCAGGGATGATAAACAGTGTCCTTTCACCCTCACTACCCAGCTGGCACTGGACATCTGTGCCCCTTCAGAGTCATCCTCTGAGGGCTTTGTCTGTGGTAGCTGTCCAAGTGGCTGTGTTCTGACAGAAGTACCCTCCTGAGTAACACGGGACCAGGTCATGGTTGGACTTTCACTGTGCTGAGAGATTTAAAGGGCCATCAAAAAGACAAACCAACCAAGCAAGCAAAAGCCTAAACCACCAAAGGACACTAGTGTCACTCTAACATGGGCCAATCTGACACATGGAAGAACTTGGAAGTCTCATGGCAACCCTGGTCCCATGTTGCAGATGGCCGAGTGATGGTTGTACCCTTCTTTCTGCAGCTAGGAGTACAAATGAACTCCAATACCTTTTCCCAGTGACCCCCCCCCCCCAAAAAAAAAACCACTTGTACACAAATACAAATGGCAGACTTTTATTAAAACAAAGGCAAGAAAAATGAATTTCAGAGCTGAGTAAAAACAAATATTACATTAAAGACATGGTTAGGTTTCAGATAATTGACTACAGTTTTAAAGGAGGCGATTCTCCTGTTCTATTGATTAATTCAATACATCATAAAATAATTTATATCTATAAAAATACCTCATTCCCAAATATACAAGCTGGACGGGGTCCTGGACTTTTCTCATTTGTGCACATATGTACTCCATGTTTCTTCCAGTATTTACGGCAAAAATCTTCTGTCCTGTTCAAGCAGAGCGTGGGCTCTGGTCAGCAGTAGGCTGTGTCAAGGACACTGCTTTCTCTGCTCAGAGAGGCCGCCTTAGGCCCCAAAGTCAGAAGATGAGCAGGACACTTGGGTGCTGGAGTTTCATTTCCAGCTGTCGCCTCAGTACAGAGGAAGCTGAGGGCTTGGTAGACAGCTGCTAGGTGGTTTGGGACACACCTCTGGTCTTAGCTGATTAGGTCTCAAGATACCCATGGAATAGAGTGACAATAGTGGCCTGAGGATGCTGAGGGAAACAGACCTGGTGTCTCTTTGCAAGCTGAACCGAGCCGAGAGGCTGGCTGGTAGCCGCCTTCCTCAGGCTTCATCAGTCTTTTGGGAATACTGGGAAGAAAATATCCGTGCAATCCTGCGAGTCTCTTCCTCAGGAAGGTTGGGAGGGAGGGTGTAAGGTCTGGGGCGACAAGGCCTTTGGGCGAGGGCTCCCCTGGTGGCTTCACTCTTATCCTGGAGAGAAGGAAATCAGCTAGATTAGTACTGAGGATACAGCATTGCAGTGAGTGATTTTGGTCCTTTGACTAACATTTCTCCAGGCACCTGGTTTGCAAATACCTCACACACCCAGTCTTGTGGAACCCTTGCCATGACATCACAAGGTAGGAGTACCTTTCTCCACACAGGTCAGGTACAATTAGTTCAAAGTTGTGCAGTTCTGAGTGGCAGAGCTGAGGCAGGTGGGAATCCTGCTTGAGCAGCCACCAGAGACAGTCATTTTCATTCACTTTCCCCTTTTTTGCATCCTGTTGGGTTCCTGTGCTGAGGGGCTCAGATCTATATAGCAGCGAAGCCGCCTGGCAGGCTGAGAGAAAGGCCCCTAGGGTAGGGAAGAGACAGCACAGAAAGAAGTGGACGCCGTCACCACAGGCGTGTGCTTGGCGTCAAGTGCACGGCCCGCCCTATGGGGAGATCTCGTTCTTGTCCCCAAACCCATGAGCCTTTCCCATGCTGGTGGAGCAATGAGACTCTAGCACCTGCCCCACCCCCGCCTGTACCCTGTAAGCCTAACAGGAGACAGGCTAGAGAGGCTCCAGGACGAGCACATTCAGAAATCCCGTCGTTCTTTCTATAGAGCAGTACATGTCACATGGAGGCAGAAATGAACGGAACAGCTCCTGCCTCCATAGCGCAGAGAAAAACAGTGGGATAAAGGCAACGAGAGCTGTGTGTCTCTCTCCAGGTTCCTAACCATGACCAGGGGGGCTGGGCAAATAGTCAGGACTATTCCTGTCAGTTCAGATCTCTAAGCATTGAGGGAAGGTGGACAAGCCGAGCAGGCCCTTAGGTAGGCCTCCCTGGTGACCAAGAACAAGCAGTGTCAGGCTGGGATGCTTGGCAGAGTCTGGAGGTACAACTCAGTGTTCTGGGGAGGTCAAGGCAAACAGGAAGGGTGTTATTTTTGGTTTGTAGTTCTTCCTTCTAAAATAACACTTCAGGCCAGGAAGGATCAAGAGGCCAGTGTTGCCCTCTGCTCCAGACTAGGCACTTGTGGGGGCATGGACTAGAGCTTCAATACAAAACCCCAGGCAGGCCAGGTCAAGATGAGGGCTGGGAAGCTAGGAGACCAGTGGGTGGGAGGACTGGGTCATGAAGACCTGGGTTACATCAGTTGGGAGGAGACAGCCTCTGCAGCAAACGCTTCGATCACTCAACTAGAACCAACGGCCGTGGGCTGCTGTGTATACATCCTTTGGGTTCTCTGAGGGACTTTTAAGCTTCTGTGTGCCTCATCCCAAGATCCCGAGAGTTTGGTGTTTAGAGGGGACAATCGTCCCAT